GTATTAAACTGGGTTTGTCTTTAAAACATAACTTACTGTTTCACAATGAAATGGATTCATTCATTTTTATAAATCGATACACATTTTAAGCAGTTATAATCGATTATGATTAAGTAATTGTTACATACCTACTTCTAGTTGCACTGGTGGTGCCAAGTTCCAAACAAAAATATGTCAGATATGTGACAAAATGGGTAAAATTGTGTATTATTTCTTCCAGTTTTTGTATCTATAGGAAATGCATATCACAGTCACGTTAAACRTTTTACAGCAAAACACATGTAAATACATACATTTTACCAAGACATATAACAAAGGGAGTTCATTTTTTCCCTCCCCACAACAACTCCAAATTCACTCCTGTCAATGCTTTTAGTCTCAGTCTCCAAAAGCTGTTTGCGTCACTCCTGAGCACACATCACTAAGAGTCAAAACCTGAGCTGTGTCTTCCTCCTGACAGCCCTCTGATGTGGTGACATTTTATCAAACTCATTTTTATTCCCGTCATGAYATTTCCTCTGGAGAGGTGCTGAAATTCTGGGGAAAACAAATGTAATGAGCTCCTCTTGAAACAGGAACACATCCATTTACACTCTTYGCTTTAGGTCAAAGCTCAGAAAATTTAAATCACATTGCACAATATGTTGCTTTATGACAGATGTATGTTTTTGTTGCACTTGGTCCTTTAGGATTTGTAAAAGTACATCAGTTGCAGTGCAAACATGTTTTAATATTAAATAAGGTAGGCTGGTTTTACAAACAGCTCCCTGACTCACAGGTTCAAACAAATGCGAGCCCAGGCCACTGGTTGCTTTAGATGTTTTGATTGCACATTTCTCCAAAGTGAAAATCTAATTGAAAAAGCTCTCGACATCATGTGGATCTGTCTGCGTGTTGATTTATTGATGTGTAAAAGTGACGCAACTCACTTACAAAAACACACCTGACACTCTAAATAAACTGTAAGCGTGGCTTCGAACATTTCTGTGACCAGTCTCTGCCGCTGCTGACTCTCTCCTAATTCATGCTGGGATATGTTTTAACCMTCCTGTGAGCTTTCAAATGATAAGCGGTTTAAAGAATGAATGAATGAATGGATTCATTGAATTATCTGGATTCGCACTAGCTAGATTCMAAAAGGCAGTGGGTCGTTGTGAGTCGCTTTGCACAGATGAACATGTGAGCAAATGGAGCAAAACAACATGTTGAGGGATAAAAAGGCAGAAAAATACAGCAGCAGTTCCAGCCTTCATAGCGAAGATGATACAGCTGTTCATACATGTGCATTAGAAGAACATTTTAGTTTTAGGAAAATAAACCACAACATGAAAAAAGTCTAGTAGATTCAACAGAAGATTTAYTGTCAGATGAATCAATGATGAGAATAAAAATCAATCAAACCCAGTCTGAGGTCTATGAGCTGGACTGCTTTAAAACCCAAACTGTAACACACAACAAAGCACTCGGTCAATTTCTTGCCTCCCACACAGAAACTACTTGGCCACCATTCCAATTTATTTTCTGTTGCTCTGTGCTTCCAAAAGACTTACTTTATCACCCGACAAATTACCCTTGAAAGGTACAAAAAGACGATTCACTTTCAGTGCTGGGTTATTTAAAAAGTTTAAGCGTGAGCAGTCATGGAGGTAAACCTTGAAAGGTGTAAAGCAAATGGAAACAAAACAAAAAGGAAAGTCACAGACCAGAAAAAAAARGGAGAGTGAGACTATAAATAGCAAGGTCAACCTGACTTTTGATTACACTCTATAAATATCAGCTTTGTTAGAAACGTGTGTGATCATACTGACTTCAGGGCTGCGCWGAGAATTTATTATTCTACAAATGTCAGTGATTTATTCTTTGTTTTAATTTATTGCGCTGCTCCTACCTGCAGAATCAGCTCTGCTGCGATCAGAAACAATAACGTTTCCTGGAGTTTTATCAGCGAATGACTGGAACCCCATGAGGAAACACGAGACGACGAACAATCCGTCAGAATCAAACGGACGAAGAGAGTTAGTCATCACGTCAACAAACTCTCCCGCATGTCAGGAGAAATGAGACGGGAGTTTGTCAGACTTCGCAGCTGTTTGTGTGAAATCAGATACTTTGTTATGAAATAAAATAATAAAGTTTAGTTGAAACATTTCTAAAAGACGCTTACACCTCAGTTAAAATCTGTTCCTCAGTGGTGAAGCTGCTGAGCTTTAGAGCTGCATACGGATCCTGCAGCTTCACCATCTTCATCTTATTCAACATAATAGTTTGAAACAATGTTTACAGTAATATGTATAATTTATAGACTGAGTTTAGAAATTATTTTACAAACAAGAAACTACATAGATACAGTATTTTGTTTACAACCCGCAGTCAGATTTTATTACTGAATCACTGAACGTTCTGTTGAACTGAAAAGGTTTTTGCTGAATTTCTGCCGAAGATGTTCATCATTCATAAAATTTGGAATTTTCCTATTTAATTATTGAATATTTTTTAGTCCAGCTTATGGACAAAACACTTTTTAGCCAAAAAAAAAAAAACATGGTTACATCATGAAACATGACATTCAAATAAATAAAACATATTTTTTGGGAGAGGAAATGATATTATGGGGCCTTACCGTATAGTGAAAGTGCACTATGTTGGTGATTTTATTTATTTATTAATTTAATATTAAATTATTAATTTATTATTATTTATTTATTTGTTGATCATTTTATAAAGTAGCCTGTTTGAGTAAATTGCCTGTTATTTAAAGAGGAATTGTAAAAATGTTATGAAGAAAACCTGCCTAATGTTGCAGTGTAGAGAAGATTATTTTGTCTCTTTTAGGGTAGAAGTCCTCAACAGGCAGAGTGGAAACTAAACTGACAACATCCATGCAAACTGGGATAAATGGGCAAAAATGTAACTAACACAGGGGGTTTGTCACAGCGGGAGCTCATCACAGCAGGATGTTATATTCACTGTGAACACAAGACACACACACTTAGACTAATCAAGAGGTCTCACAAATCAAAGCTTCATAAGACAGCTAGACAAAAAAAAAAAAACAGTCAAACCTCTTTAGGAGTTATTTTTGATTTGTAGCCCTAAGATCTTTAAATAACACTGAACTTAAAACTTTAAAGTAGGGCTGTGTATTGGCAAGAATTTGGTGATACGGTACATATCATGACAGAGGGGTCACGATACGATATATCCCAATATATTGCGATACTATAAGCAAGGCGATATATTGCGATATATTGCGATTTTTTTGTCAAAAATTCTGTTAAATAAAAACCCCTTACAGGGAAAAGAAATGAAAAACCAAAATTCATTGTCTCAGAAAATTCTAATATTACATAGACATACTTTTGATACATTTAGCTGTGTTCTGCTTTGTATGTGTTTTATTTTATTTGTTTCATATTTCTTATTTCGTCCATGTTTTCAATTATTAGACTAAATTTGACAATAAATAGTTTGAAAATATCCTTTTTGCAGATTTTAGTTTTAAATATTAATTTACAATACGGTCACCCAACACAACAATAGCCTCTACCTCAAGAGGTAGAGGAGCCCAATGGCTGGCTCACTGCTGCCAACTAGTGGTCAGAGGCTGAACTACAACATAAAAATGAACGGCTGGCAGGAAAGTTGACATTTTAAACCTTAATAAAAAAATCGATACAGGGCTTTAGAATATCGATACAGTATCGGGTAATGAAATATCATGATATTTCAGTGTATCGATATTTTTTTTACACCCTTACTATAAAGAATCTTGAAACTTTGCTAATATTTTTGGCTCTTATAAAATGTAAACATCAGATTTTAGTCATGCCATAAAAGTCATTCTCATTATTCCCCACGTCTCGTCTTTACAGAAGTTGAGCAGCTAATGTGTTTCAGCCCACATCATAGAAGTTGGAACGCATTTATTATTTCAAACAGCATGAAGACTGACCTTGGTGTTGACTTTGGTCTTGCTGTTGCTGCTGTTGTTGCTGTCAGTGCTGGGATTGGCATCTTCATGAACTCTGTCCAAAAGCCAGAGGAGAAACTCCAGGGCATCGTGCTGAGAGTTTCCCCGAAACTGAGAGGCGTATTTGGCCACTATGCTCTGAGGAGGAGGAGGAGAGGAAGAACATCACAATTAGTAACTATGGATGAATAATTAGAGCATAAAGCATTCATGTAATTAGAATAAATCAGTATCCATAAAACCTCAAAAGCAAAATTCTTTGATTTGATGCTTTGTTTAATCCACATCGACAGCTCTGGGAGCACAAGTAGGACCGAATGCTTATGATACCTTATGTGTGAAAATAAGACATGTAAAAAGGTTTAAAATATTAGGTCAATACCAAGAAGAAGAAAAACAAAAACCAAACTAAATCCCTAAATTCCTTCGAGAAAATKTTGAGTTAATAATTTACTTCAAGGACCGAATGCATCCACCAGTCGTTCAGTTAGATTTTCTGCCTTTTTAGATCTGAGTTTGCAAACTCTGAATTTTTTCAAACTTTTTTAAATTGTTTACAAGAGGATACATTTCAAACTGCAAAGGACTTACGTATTCAACCGATACAAACCCTAAAATAAAGTTTTGCTAAATCTCTAACAGACATGCAGAGTGAAGGGAAGCAGGAAAACTGGGACAAAATAAAACTTTAAAATCGCTTCATCGCTTTGTCTCCAGAATATCTAACAGAGTTCCTCCTACCTACAAAGTTGTAAGGCTTCAATCAAATGTTAAAAATATCTTCATTTCTAACTTTGTGTTGGTTAGATTAACAAACAATTATTCTTGATTCAGTCAGGAGGAGGACAGAGTCTATAATAATCAGGCAGAAATCTAACGAGTGCATTAACACTGCAGGAGGCTACCTGCAGTAGTAGGTAGCCTCGTCTCTGTGTGAGAGACTGACAGGATCCAGACTCTGCTGCGAACCTCATTAAAAATCACCACATCATACCTGCAGTATTCCAGTATCTAAATATAAACACTGGAGGGAGGCCTGCCCCCCCACACCTCACCCTTTCCCATCCAGCTCCATTCTACCAGACAGAGACTGTCTGATAATGAGCTTCATCACCATGAGGAAGCGCCGACAGGGGATGAAGGAAGGAGAGGGATGCTGGCGAAAGTTTCAGTAGACAGATGCACCTTCCTGTGGCTTTGTATCAAGTGGACAGCACAGTGACAGGCCCAGAGATGAAAAGTAAAAAAAAAACAACTAAATCAAGAAAATAAGTGTAAACAAGAAGATGACAGAAGAGGAGGGAAATATTTGAAATTTCAGTGACCTTGAGTCAGAGTACAGGTGAAACTGAGAGGATGATGACTATTTGTACCCATTCCATTCCAACTAAAATACTGTACACAAGTATGAGAAAGGCGGTTTGAAATATTAGCTTTACTCACCACTTTGATATCTGGTTACGAGAGTATTTCTTGTGAACATGTCACTCAGGCTCAAAGACACTTTGGCAAACAGACAAGCTGCACTTCCTGTCATCAGTTCTTTTTTACTAATTTTATTTTGCAGAAGAAATGACAAARAAACAAGATGACAGACGAATACGCTACGTCAAGAAATACGGCTGCTTGGTTTAAAAGGAATTTCAGCACCAACTCTGCAATGTGTGCAACAATAAATACTGAAATAAACACCGAATGAAGGAAGATTATATTAGAGTGACCAATTAGTGCTTTGCAATGGTTGATAGTGTGGCCATGTGTCAAAACAAACCGATAAACCAGGGCTATTCAACTAAATGGCTCCAGGGGCCACAGTTACTGCAGGTCAACAGCTGCTGAACATCATATCGAAGTCATTATGTAAATAAACCAAGTATTACAAAGATCTGTTACCTTTGAAATAGTTTATTTTGCTGCATTTAATCATGAATATAACATACAGAACCATATAAAGTAGTGATAAATATCAAAAACAAAAAAAACATGTTATGCATTATGCGGGGTGGCTGTGGCGGAGTAGTTAGGGGAGTCGTTCTGGAACCAGAAGGTCGCTGGTTCGAGCCCCTGTCCAGCCGTCTCAGTCGTTGTGTCCTTGGGCAAGACACTTCACCCACCTTGCCTACTGATGGTGGTCAGAGGGTCCGGTGGCGCCGATGCATGGCAGCCCCACCTCTGTCAGTGTGCCCCAGGGCAGCTGTGGCTACAGTGTAGTTTGCCATCATCAGTGTGTGAATGTGAGTGTGAATGGGTGAATGTCTGTTAGTGTAAAGCGCTTTGGGGTCCGGAGGGACTTGAAAAGCGCTCGATAAGTTCAGTACCATTTACCATATTTAACACAAATATTATTTTGACATCTCTGACTTGCCAAATTTTTAAAACAATTTTATTTTCACTTTCATAGTTTTATCTTCAACTGCTTATAAATGTAACTGTCTTGACTGTGAATAGAAATGGTTTCTACCGGCTTCTAGCCAAGATTCTGATGTTTCTGTAGATACCAAACACGTCTATGTTTAACTAAACACAACTTATAGTAATTCAAGTAGAAATCCAGGCGTTTGGGTTTAAGATATGAATGAACCAATTGGCGAGCTGAACTTTGGTCACTCGCGGGCCGGATGTGGCCCACGGGCCGCCAGTTGAATAGCCCTGCAATAAACTAAAACAGTAAGGTATCTCTATTTTCTGTGAAGAACCCAGAACGTAAATAAAATACAGTAAAATGAATAACTCAGATGAGTACAAAGAAGTAGGCAAGGTGACACATTTAACCATTAGACACCAGAAGGCATTTCAAAGTGCGAAAATTATGACTCATTTGGCTTTCCATACATCTACCTCTCACCTTCTGCTATTGATCACTTGAAACTAAACTTTTCTACAGCAAACAAGCAGGTGTTCAAGCTAGGGTGCACYGATTGCAGTTTTCTGGCTGATCTCCAGTCTTTAAAATGTCTGACCAGCCGATTCYGATTTTGGCTGATACTGATTTTTTTAAATAACTGCCAGGTGTTGTAAGGTCACAATAAGACATTAACGTTCCAATCCTATTTGATTGAAAAACACTGTACAATACCCTTGAAATGATACAAACTTGTTTTAACTGGACTTTAGGTAGTGCTCACAGCAGAGCAAAAGGGGAACAGTGACTGATTTTCAGACCTTTGTGAAGGTAGATGAGAAGATATGTAAGCAAGATGATATATTGCCATTTTTTTCTCCAAAGGACTCGGTATAAAGAGCAGACAATGCAACACATGCATAAAATCTGATTAAATTCAGTGTATTTTTATGCAATCAGAAGAACACTGAACAGTAAGAATTGCATTTGTATTTCACATTTCTTCTTGCAACATCCATCCATTAAGTTTTAATGAAAGTCGATATGGTGCTTWTGAGAAACRATACAAGAAATATTGTGRTATTGCAGTGTRTCAATATTTTCTTACACCCCTAAMCAACAMACCTCCTACAGTTAGCAAAATATTCTGATTAACATCCAATGATGTCTGGAGTTGTACCTAACAAAAGGCACCTTCATTCTGGGAAGCAGACATGGTCAAGTGCAACTGCTGCCTCAAGATATGCTAGGGYATGGCCAAACTGAACCTTTTTATACAAAATGACAATAATTAGCCTAATTAATCATCCGACCTAGATCCTAAACAAGTAGTTAGTTGCTAGTAAGTGACACATGAGCTTTCCAGAAGCTCAAAAACAAAACAAAGKTAATCAGATTGCAGAAAGATTGACTCTAGAGGTGAATAACTGTCACTATCCCTCGTCACAGACTTTCTGCTGAACTCATCCCAACCTGACTCCACGTGGCAGGAGGAAATAACTTMCTGGCTAAAGGTTTTGTCAAGAGAGTCCACCGTTCAAAACCTCTCAGCAGCCTGACTCCTACGAGCAGGCAGGATAATAAGTTAAAGACATAAWGGCCGCTTTATTTTTTTAAAAGTGAACAGCTCAGCATTCATTTCTACACAGAGACACTCACAAAAGTCACCTTCCGATAATCGTTYCTGAAAGAATGTGCCATCTTTAAAAAWAYMRRAAAAAAAAACTTTCATGAAGATATAAAAGAAAGCAAATTCCAAATTAAAGTGAAAAAAAAAAACAGCAGAAATCTCAAGTTGCTTCCACTCCTCAGAGGTAACCCTCACACGGCTGCAGGAGCTCAGGAGCCACGGAGAGGAGAAAGGTGGGTGGAAGGAGTAAGGAGATTCCTTTACTGATCAGCCTCGATGAAGAATCTGATTCTCAGTCCACAGCAGACGGACTTTCTTTGAAGCAAGTCCTGTTTCATTTAGTGAGTTTATATATTTTTACTCGTTTCATTTTTCTCCTTTTAATTAATGCTCTTTAATACAGCAATGATGAGACAACTGATCAAACAACTTGCCAAGGRCTTGATTACTAAGCTACGGATAGCTGCTGCTCTGTAAAGTTATTGATCTGTGTTTGAGAAACCCAAGTTTGTTCTTCTTAGTTTTGCCTTGAACTTAGTGAGTCATACAGGTGCTGGCTGATGGAAACAGTGCAGGCTTTAGCAACAAATACGGTCAGGGGATAGTAAAAATACACTGCTTGGTGTAAAATTCCACTTTAGAACAACTGTACAAATAGTTGCAAAAGTTTTTACCCCATTGGCAATTTTTTCAGATTGGTTGACTCACTACCTGGATTTTAAATGGATTTCTGTTTTATTATAAGTATTGAAATACTGCAGAATAAGCAAGTTAAATGAGGGATATCCATCCATCATCTTTTATCTTCTTCTTTTCATGATCATTGGTGCCAATATCCATCATAGGACCACAGAGACAAAGAAGCATTCACTCTCTCACTCACACCTAGTTTAGTTACCCATCAGCCTAACATTCATGYTTTTGGTTTGTGGGAGGAAACTTAGGTACCAGGAGAAAACCTACGCATGCACGGACAGTACATACAAACTCTACCCCAAAAAGGTCCTTACCCAGGATTCGATAAGGATTTTGTCTACCAACTGAGCCACAGTGCCACTGTGACCCTAAACTGTGTAATAAAGCAACACTCTGCTGGTTTAAGTAGAATGATCCAGACAAAGACCAACCTGAGAAGCTCTGGTCTGATTTCTGCAGACAAGCAAGTAA